TCGGTAGTCTATCTAGTCTAGTGTTTTACCTCTGTCTGATAATAAGCACTTAATGTTTCAGCAGTCTAACAAACCTGGTTACTTCAACTGAGCAACATTATACGTAACAGGAATAGTCCTTCCTGACCTTGTGAGTTGCTTTAGTCATTATATGAAGTGTAGTTACTTTTAGTAATTAAAAGTAGAGAAAAAGAATATTGAAATACAATCTCTAAAGCCCTTGAGGTCAAACCTACACATGAATGACATTTTGTTTGCTGTTCCACAATTCTGTGACTGTTGTAATATTATCTATTCTGATTTTGCTCAAAGGAATTGGATTTCAAATAAACCCATTCCAAAAAGAAGCATGAAAACAGAGCTAAACAGAAGCCATCATCCTGTTAGTACCATAAGTTGCCTAATAACATGCCATGATTAAACATTTTGACCTTGACGAGTTACAGTGAAAAAGGGGAAAAAATATATTTATTTCTTATAATCTTACTATTTTTCTTCAGAGGCACAATTTTTACTTAGCTTTGGTGAAATAGTGATTATTTCATGTATTTCTGAAGTGCCATTGTCTGTAATATTAATTCCTTTAAAACCCCCCAAAAAGATATGTATTAGTGAACCCTCTTTACACTACAGTTTTAGAATAGGAGAGGCTTTGCAGTCAATTATTTATGTGCAATAAGTACTGAAAGCCTTATTATCTCAGAATAATCAATGTTTGGCTGAAGCTTGAGAACACTAATAGCTAATCTTAAAAGTCCTGATCCAGTGTCATTTGAAATAATGGCAGAACTCCCATTGATTTTAAGCGAAGGAGGATGAGGCCAAAAAGTACTGCTTTGAGAGATAATTTTAGATAATCAGTTGAAAACATCTGTAAAAGAACAGAAAACTTGATATTCACTCCCCGCATAATACGGTATGAAGTATTCCGGCAGGCAGGAGCTCTTGACTTCAAAATGGTATATATCTGTATTTTCTGTTGCCTTGGGGAGCCTTGTTTAAGTGTATATCTACTGAGATGGTGTTACCGTCTCTGGGAGTAGACAGATGGCAACTGGAAAAGTTATGAGCAAACTGGGGACGAGTAAGGACACTCAGTGAAGTATTGAAATACCTGCATATCTTTTTGTTTAACACTCAAGGTACTTCTTTTTTCCTTGAATCCCCAGCAATTTTTTCTCTCCAGGATATGCTCTCACTCATTCTTATGGGGCCTTTCATTGTTATCTCTCTTCAGCAACTCTGATAATTTGCCTGATAATTTGCAGAGCGGCTTGTGGTATGTGAGGAGCCTCTCTCCTCCTGGGACTCCTGGAAGATAACATGAGAAATAAAGGAAGTGACACCCAAAATACAAGAGATCATACCAGTGCTTCAGGACGCCTTCTGGTGCAGGGTCTGGTGCAGGCTCAGACCTGTGGGTCTTGAGTCAGCTTGTAGGGCAGGGCTGGACAAAGAAGCCAAGGAGGTATTCAAAGATTGCAAGGAAGAAAGAAAGAGGAGTTTCTGGCATTTGGTGAGCCATTCCATTCTCAGATGGGGGGCTGCTGTTTTCTGAGTTTGCATGAATGATGAAGGGTAGATTTTGGCTACATCTGGAGGAAGGTCTGAAATGTGATTTAATTATTATTTAAAAAAAAAATCCTCCAGAACTCAACCTGCTTGTCCATCCAAGCCAAAAAGGCTATCAGAACTTCATTTTAAAGGTTGTTTCTTCTCCTTTGCTTATCTGCAAAGAATAGGAAAACCAGGAAAGAAGGCAGGAATGGTTCTGATGAATGCAGCAGCAATTAAAAAAATACCAAGAAATTAAGTGTGCTTTGTACTATCTTTTCTGCAGGGGTAAGGTATAGCAAACCTTGTATTGCCCTTATTAAAAGTAAGTAGATTCTGTTTAATAGTGCTAATCTGTGACCACACTTGGGGTGTGTGTGTCTGTTTATTGATTGAGTGGAGTTATTTTTTAATAGAAGAGTTTATTTTCTGAAGAAAGGGAGTCCTTTCCCATTCTTTTACTGGCAGTGCTGGGGGATGCCCAGCACGGTCAGTGTTGAGTGGCAAACTAGAAAAGCTTTCCTCTAGCGAGGAAGAGGCAGCATCAGGAAGCAGCCTGCAGATAAGCAGATATCACTAAGTAGGGAAGTAGGACAGATACCCTGAGACAGCATCTGGCAGAGCAAGGGAAGAGACATGAACTTTCCTTTCCAGAGAAAGCCAGAGAAGGAGCTGGAGGGACCCAGCTCCTAGAAAAGAGCCAAAAGTTCTGAAACTCCATAATATTTAGGTGCTGAGCTCACACTGATTTCAGTCTTAACAAGTACTATATTTAGTTTCACTTCTGTTCCTTAATACAGTCCCAGTCCAATTTAGGAACAGAGTGGCCTCAAAGAAACTTGAAAATTTCAGCAGTTTGTTGCCTTTTTTCACCTCAGAATGGCTTTTTCTGCTCCTGCAAATAGGAAACAAAATATGGATCTTGGCAAAGCATATTCGATAGTCCAGTTTGGCATATATATTTACCTATCTTTTCATCCATATACTTATATAGACCATGAAATCATAGTATCAGAGTGTAGCAACAACCTGTGACAGTATTGCTAAGTAATTTAAGAATACCCTGTTTAATAAACTAGAGGGTTTTTTTCCCCTCTCTAAAACAGTGAGCTACATTCTCTCATTTCTCATTCACTCACACATTAAGACAGATTTGACCAAGTATTTTTAGTTGGAGATTTGGAGCGGCTAAAGTAAGAAATCCTCTTAATAAAAATAGGAGCTTTTTTTAAACTATCTTTTATACCAGTGTAATTCCATTGACTTCACAAGATTTATTCCTAATACATTCTGATAGGAAAAGAGTACCAGGTTGTGGGCACTTTTATTTTTCTTTTATGCTGGGGGGGTAACATTGTCACTGTGCTCAAGTCCTTCCAAAGACAGAACTATTTTGTATAGCGTTTCCTTTTTACTAATTGATGACATGCTACAGTACCTAGGTAAATAAGTACTAAATATGAATATACAATACAATCATTACTTATTTTCCTGATGATGAAGATAGTTTTCTGGTTTTTGTGAAGCATCACAAGTCATCTTGGGTTTCCTGTAGGACTGCAAGCTGGGCTAAGTATGAAATGGGCAGGACAGAGCCAAGTCAGAGGCACTCTATAAACTTCAGCAATTTTCATCAATTTTGCTTTGAATGACAAGAAATATTAAGCTTCTGTCTTCCAGGGGAATATTTCTCAGTAAACTATGTTTACCAGTAGCTTTCAAATTTAACCTTATGCTTTTGTTATTAAATGAAGCAAGATTGTAGGGAGAGAGACTTTATTTTATTTATCTTTTATTAGACCAGCTCATATTGTTGGATAAAAAACAGACAAGCTTCCAGGTGCAGAAATCCATCTTCAGTTTTGAAACAGAAGCCAATTTCAAGCCAGATGTAGGCTAGAGACAATTGTTTTGAGTTTAACTTTGTTATAGTGATCAGTTGAACAAATAGAAGAGAAAAAGGTGTCCGACACCTTGAAGCAGATGAGGATGTTAGTGAAGCCAGATGTGATAAGGTTGCGATAAATGTGTCTGAAATAGCTAACAGAGTCCGGTGGTGGTGTTGTTATTAAAAAGAGAGTCAAGGTAAGGGACAAGAAAAGTGAATGGTAGAAATCTAGACAGGTGCGATTCACCAAATCCAACTGTATAACAGACGTTTTGGAAGAGACTGATTGAATCGTGAATCAAAGCCTCATTTTCATGGGAACACAAGAAGCTATAGGGGTCTCTTTCAATATCTCAGTGAGTGACAAAAAGTAGGTGCTTACAAAGTAATTTTGAGCCTTTGGATGTTAAGGAGTTTCTTAAAGCTGTAAAATATTTGTAAATCTCTAAGGGTAGGACAGTGAGCAGTCCAAGCTAGTTACCCTGGGCTCTCAATGGTGAAAAATAGGCACACTGGAAGAGTGACTTAGTCTTGTATTGAACCAGATGTTTAGGGCTATTTCTCGCCATTGATACAACGGCAGTCTAGAGTGAGTAACTCAGGTTTAGGTAGTTAACTTCTGAAGTGAGCTTCTGACATCTGAAGTGAATCTCCCTCAAGTTTCCAAGACTTAAAAACACAATAGGGTTGCAGGACTGGCCTTGAGCACTGACCCAGGACTGTCTGCATTGCCAGGCGCTGCTCCCAGTAGGCGTTTGGATATGTGCCTCCCCTTTGGGAAGGCGAAGGGAAGAGCTGAGTGGATGCAAGCCTTGCTGTGCCACTTGGCCTCGGTGCCAGAAGGCAGAGAGGGACCTGTCTTATTTAACCAGCATCGACACAGACTCTGTCACTTGAACTCAAGGACTTACAAGTCCCTGAGCCTTAAAAATCTGCACCCTGGTGCAGTTTTCAGAAGTGCCTCCACTGCATTAGCTTTACTCTAAAAACAAGATGAGATCTTGCCAGAAATCTTGTCTTTATAAAGGTAATCCTTCTATATTTATCCATGCATTCATTCTCTAGGTATTAAATTCAAATAGAGATTATTCTTTTAAATGTTTGTGTAGATCTCTGCTGCTCTTTATTTTGTTATTCTTTGCTAAAACAATGCCATTGCTGTAGAAGTGTTTTATGTTTTGGTTTTTTTTTTAAATTATTCTCCACTTTAATAAGAAATATTAGGAAACCTTAGTAACCCTTCCTTTTTAAAAATGAGATGCTGTTCACTGAAAACTGCAGCAAATGACTGGATGCTCGATATTTGAGTTCCCCAGGAAACTCATCCACCACAGAGTTTGTGCTCGCAAGCTGACCTTTCTTTCATTATATAAGAAAAAAAAAATAATCTTTTTGAAAGTCAAGTTGAAGATAAGATCAGCATGGTGGGCTGGTAATTACATAAAGTAATGTTCAGTCATTAGATAAAATGTACAGTTGATCCTATGGCTTAGATGTGGGCAAGGAATATAATCTAGCTTTACTGGTATAAAAGAAAGATGCAACTTTTTCGTACATCAGTTTCGGGAACGTACATCCAAGCATCAAGGACAGCTCACCTTCAAACACCATCCTGCAGTTTCTCAGCTGTCTGATTTATTCTTGTTGAACAAGGGAGGTAATATATTTTTTTAATTTTTGTTACTGTTAAAGAGGAACAATTACATATTTTTTTACAGTCTCTTTCCCTTCTCTCCAAAAGTTTTCTTCTTCCATTCTGTCAAAGTTTTTACTTTGAAAATTAATGTAAAGGTTGCTTTGGGACTAAAACATCAGTGCTTGGGGTTAAACTAGCTTTGTAAGTAAGAGAAAATGAGGTTCTAGAATTGTACTGCAGCTAAATGTTGATATTTTGTGATTTCTGATCAGGTCTGGTAATTCTTCATCAGTAATTTTGTGTTTTTCTCCTCGTCAACAGTGTTGCTGTCAAATGTTAAGCGTTACACAACCTGTGGTACTGACACATCTTTTAGAGTCTTTAAATTACTGGTAATGATTAAATATGTTAAGGGAAGGGGAAAAAAAACATTAGTGAAGATTTCTCAGTCTTCAGTGGTTTGCTAGCAGGTCACTGCGTACATGACACTGGGCTGCAAGTGAAGAGCTGGCAGCTGTAGTTCGTTGTTGCTGTGACACAGCTGTAGCTCATGGCCAAGCATCCCAGAAAGAAATGAACACAATGTGCAAAGTGTTTAACTGTTGTTGGGTATGACAGCACCACTGTCACTCTATGGAAAAGTATAGAAGGATGTCCCAAGTTTATACTGAAAACATTAGGTTATTTTGTACAATCAGTACAAAGGATGCCCGTTGAACAGAGCTTGCTGGTATGTCTGTGCCAGGACATGGACCACAGAGTTAGACGAGGGATTCTGATCCAGTGGAGCTTCACATGAATGTAAAAGCATCCACAGAGTCCTACGCGTACCTGAACAGAAGACCTGTTTGCAAATACAGATGATTGCCTGTCTTTGTGAGGGTAATGGGTAACATGATAACTTATTTACAGAAAAAGACAAGATATTGTAAATAATGAGATGAGACTTTAACTGCTGGGGAAGATTTAAAATTACTATCTTTCCAAAGAGCTGCTGAAATTCATGCATTATATAATGTTCCAATAGCTTAAGAAAGATAATAATTAATAGATTAAAGTAAAAGCTTCCTTTGATTTGGTGGTGAGATGAAATGAGTGGTGTAGACACTAACTGAGTTAGCAGCATGGGCACAGTCAGAAAACCAGGTAAGACCATCAGGCAAAATGGCTGTTGCATTGGAAAAGTAGAGAAGATCACATCTGGGTTTTATTGACAGGTATCTTCAGTGTTTTTGGTATGAGCCTGACAGTCTTGACTCAATAGAGGAAGTGCAAAACTACAATTTCAATTCCCGTTTTGGCTAATGAAATTTAAACAACTTCCCTCTGGGATTGCCTCAAAGCCTTATAATGTACCAAATCATAGCATTATATGTTCTTAGAAAAATTAGGATGGAGAATGCCACTGTGCCTTCAGCAAAGAGCATGAAATCACAGAATAATCAGTCAAGGGTTGTGGTGTTATTCCTGTGTCTGTCATCTTATTGGAGCTGGTGGAGCATCCAGGCTATCAAAAGGCCCAGGATGATGTGGAAACAGGTCATTTGGAAGAGGCTGTCTGTCTTCTCTTGCTGGTGCATGGGACCCTCCAGCCAGCTCCTCACACTCTGAGGAATGTCCCCTTGGATGGAGCAGGGCTTGATGTTAAAGTGTGGGATTGTGTCCCAGTGCAGGTAAGTCTGCCAGCAGTCACACCCCCTCTATGGTGCTGGAAAGAGCGTATGCAGTAAACAACCTTAAAAAAAGCCTTATTTGCTGGAGAGAGGGATCCAGCCAATTTATTCAGCGCCACTCCATAGATGTGGCTGAGCTCAGTTCAGTTCCCAAAACATTTGGCAGGACCATAGGAGGCTGTGGATCTAAACGGTGTGAAGGACCACCTTTGTCCTGCGGACACAGGTTACTCTTGTCGAGGGAACAGGGTGCAGAGAGCTGGCAGCTGCTTCTCAGAAACCTGAGAGCCATGCTCAAAGCTTCCGTGGGGCTGCCGTGTTAACGGCATCCCCCCCTTTCCTTTGCCACCCGTTGACTAACATGAGAAGAATATTTCTTGTACTTGGATGGGGTTTTTTTGGTAAAAGGCCAAGCAGAGATGTGTAATTACAGGTTGCATTCAGCCTGCATGCATACATACACACATACATACATACATTGAACTGGTTTTTTGATAGCTCTTCCAAATGCTTCTTTCCAGTGCTTCTACAATTGCTACCAATGGGTTTTCTTCCTGTTCCTTACTGGCTCTTTTTAACTCCTTTATCCTCTGTTTTCTGCCAGCATGAACTGACTCACTGTGCAGGTCAGAGGGAGGAGGCGAAGTTACTTGTACCCAGCGCCCAACCCTTGCCACCTGTTAATTGCAACTTCATTAGCCTCTTAGCCATTCAGTTTAGCTGGGCTTCAGATCAGTCTCTTACCTCTCGTTTTTGCTCTCTTAATTAGAAAGAGGCTTCAGATCAGTCTCTTACCTCTAGTTTTTGCTCTTTTAGTTAGAAAGAGGCTTGTTTCCACCTTGTGCCTTCATTCATTGCACCAGAGAGCACTGCACATCGGTCTTGCTCATAAACTTTGTTTCTTTCCACTTTGCTGACCCCAGTCAGGCAAGGGCCATGTTCTTGTCATCCTGCCTTTGGTCTCGGCCTCATCTGCCTGGGCATGATCTTTTCCTGATTGCTGCAAGAATGGAGCTCTCTGAATTTGTTTCCTGGTTTCAAAGCTACCTTGTAGGGCCTGTGCTCCGCTGCCATCTGAACTGCTACCTTTGATGACTGCATTGTACGTGTGTTTAATCAATGAACCAAGACCTGCTGACCTGTGCGTCGCAGCCTCACGTCCCCATATATCTCTGGGAATTTGTGCAGTGATGGAGCATCCCTCTGCTAATCAATACCCTCTTTGCACACATCCCAGTGCTCCAGGTTCATTCTCAGGTAATGATACCAGGCAAGTGGCTTCACTCCTTGGACCACCTCAGGTTTTCCTTTCCCTCCAGCTGTGAGCAGGCGTTACTTGAACATTTGCATCATTGTGGCTGTCCTTGCAGGGATTCTGCTGGATAGGTGCAAAATCTCCAAAGAAATAAGTTTCCGTTATGTGAAAGCTGTCTTTGTTTAATTATGCTTCATTTTCTACCATCTTTCCTGGTTAGGGTTGGCAGTGCCTTCTCTGATCAGTATAGCATGCTTAAATAACATCTGCACCAAAACTAAAGATCAATTTCTTTGTTGCTGGCATTATTGTCCTTCCCACTGCCACCTCATTTTTAGAAATATTTGGGGCCACAATTTGATCTTTCCCTGGAGAATATTTATCATGGAGTAGCAGCATTGAGTAGTGTATTTGGTGTATTTGGAGGAAGAGAAGCTTTTAAGTATTTTAGGATTGAATGCTTTTTTTTCAGTATCTAAAGTGTACATATCAGTGTTGTCAGCTTGGAGGCTTATCCCGCACATCAGTCATTAGCACAACATGCTCTTGTGTGACAGTTTCAGTCTTTTAAAGTCAAGGGATCAGGTGGTCTGCGCAGGCACAGAATAAACTGTTCAAAATATCCAGTTGCAAGAGTCTGGAGATGCCGTCAGCGCTGCAGTTCAGACACAGCCCAAACAAACTGTCAGTTAGCTCCAGACACAGCCTGGGGAGGGGGGGTGACTGCAGAGGTGGAGAGATCTGCACGATCAGCTAATGTTTCTGGGAAGGCAGGTAAATAACTTGGTGATTAGGAGCAGGGGGCTCGGGATGCTGCCTGGGCTGCTTGGCTGAAGCCAGCCAGGAGCAACTGGGGCCAGTGAACCAGGCGCTGCTGCACAGCCACAGCCAAACACCCTCTCTTCAGCAGGAAGGTGAGCAGTGCTCAGCCCAGAATCCCTCACAGGGTAATCTGAAATGTGCTCTGTGTCTCAGCAATAAAAAGAACTTGAGGCTCAGTCCTTCACGACAAGGCTGTCCCCAGCCAGCCTGGGTGGGTACAGGAGTGCTGCTGTCTCTGTCACCTGCACAGGCTGCCCCGGCAGGGCAATTTCATACTTCAGCATCCTTTATACATCTTTTTCTCCATGGACTCAATTGCTTCACCATGGGATATGTCATTCCCGTTCATTTCTAAAGGAAGGGCGCAGGCCTATGCTTTAGAAGAAAATAATTTTTAAGGGGGAAAATCTGTTTTCTGAGTGAGACACTGGGCAAAATGGTCTGTGATTGGGCACAATGAAATTGTCAGTACAATACAGGGGCTTAGTGCTTGAGAAGGAAGGTTATAAACTTCATGCCTAAAATACTACATTTTAATATTGTCAAGAGAAGAAGTGAGGTTCAGTATTTTGTTTTATGTGTTCATAGCTCAGGTGAATCCAATATTTTTAAAAGTAGCATTAGTTGACCAGATAGTTATAACATGAAGATCTGAAAACACATGTGACATCTTTAGCCTAACTCAGGTCCTGCCTGACTTTCCAGTGAGGCAGATCCTCCCAGGCCACGGCACAGGCACATAGCACTTCTCTGGCTCAAAAGAAACACCAATTTCTTATGAACAGTTCATGACCAGTTTTTTGTCTCTGACCAGGCCTGTACAAAGTGCTTCAGAATAATTTTAAAGGTCCTATGGTAGTTACAAAAAGCATCCTGCTGATCTGCGTGTAGCCCTTATTTAGCACATCTGATGTTTGGATATGGAGAGAACTGAGGTTTCATGTCCTGTCCCCCCAGCTGCCATGAAATCTTATTGCAAATGATGGTGAAAAAGGTTAATTAATTTTAAAAAATCAACCAGAGTATTTGTTACGGTATTCATATAGTTACAACTTATATATTCTGCATCTTTAATATTGTAGTTCCCCCAGTTATTCATATCAGAGATATGCATTACCGTGTGGTATAGATTTGATCTGGATCAAATATAGCCACACAACTGCATTTCTGTTGAATTACCCAGAGAACAAGCGATATGCTATTTATGGCCACTTCATCTCATGTGCTAGCTGTAGAAGGACAGATGTGCAGTGCCGCATGTAGCCTTCTTGGACAAAATCAATCTATTGAAAAGATTTTTAAAAGTTCAAGCTGACCAGGATGTGTTTATACCAAACCATCTTTCTGCTACTCAGAACCCAAAAGCCAAGTTGCTGCATCAGTAAAACGAAGCCTAAAAGAAATCTCAGTCCAGAAGGTTGCAGGGATGCTGAACTCCCTGGGACTCCCCTGACCCCGGGTGATGCAGGTGGCCCTGGGGCTCTTTCGAGCCCTCCTGAGCTCGCTCTCGGCACCCTGAGCATCTCCTCGGGCACTCTGGAGCACAGCATGTAGTGCCCCTATCATTACATAGATCAGAGGAGCTTTCTCTCACCGAGGGACAGGACTGTGAAAATCTCTTTGTGGGGACTTTAGCATTAAAGAAGTCATAGAATCCTAGAATCGTTTAGGTTGGAAAACACCTTTAAGATCATTGAGACCAACCGTTAACCTAGCACTGCCAAGTCCACCACTAAACTGTGTCCCTAAGCACCACATCTACACGTCTTTTAAATACCTCCAGGGATGATGACTCCACCACTTCCCTGGGCAGCCTGTTCTGATGCTTGACAACCCTTTCGGTAAAGAATTTTTTCCTAATATCCAATCTAAACCTCCCCTGGCACAACTTCAGGCCATTTCAGTGTGTGGACAAATAATCTGACTCTTGGTTCAGGAAATTATGTCCTGATGTGAAATCATTTTCCTTGAAATTAGTCTTTCCATGTCCCAGATTCTGCAGATTCTTTTGTCTTCTCCGTAAGCATTTGCTGGCTTTATCCAATCTAACATAAATATTAGACAGTTATGACATTTGAAGTTTATGTGCTGTGGCTTATATTAATATTCAGAAAAAAAAATGTTAAGGCCAGAAAGAAAGGCACATTTTTGTTATTGTGATGAATTCAATTTTCTGAGCCTATAAAATGCACATCAGTACACTGCATTTTCAGTTTCCAATCCCGGTTCTAAATTGTCTCTGTTACTTGCACTGAATGCTGTATCAGTGTGTAGCCTAGATACTGGTATTGTACCCAGTGCAAAACAGTCCTTTAAAAAATGTGTATATTTGTATTTCCAGACAGATCATGGATTCCTACGGGAAGTATGCAGCTGTTACTTTGACCATTTTGTCTGTATTTCTGCATCTTCTTCATGCTTTCCCAGATGGAGAGTTTCTCATGCAGGGTAAGCTGCTTTCAGCGTTCAGAAATAGGTCAATTATTCGTAAAGAGTATTAATTAAACTTTCACATGTTTTATAAATGTGGTCATAAATCTTACCATTCTGTTGCATTTATTGACACTGAGATATGAAGGTATAATAAATCAAGATAATTTTGCTATGAGTATACTTCCTATTTCTTCTCTAAACTTGATTTCTCCAGGTCAAGAGTCTCCTAGATGACCATGTCCTCATGTTGACGTGGGTGATCTTAACCTCGAAACATTATAGAATAGAAATGTTTTGGTTTCTTGTACTCTTGAGATCTAAATGGCAACGTAACATCAGGAAAAGCAGAACCATAGCTTCTCCTCATAATACACAGAATATTTTTCCCTTGTAGATCCCAGAATATGGGATGTTGGTGGTGTAGCATTCTGCAAAAGAGTATTAGGAAGATTTTAGGGGTGTTTTGGAGGTTGCGGGGTTTTTTTATTTAGCCTCGAATTGAATATAGAAAAATGTGAGCTACAAAAATCTCGGGATCACTGGGCATTTTTAAAACTCTTCATAAGAGAGTCTTGCCTGAAAACAGGCAATGTCTAAGAAGCACCACAAATCCTGCTGGTGCTATTTAACTATCTATAGCTCGTAGGAAGTTTTCTAGGGACTGTTAGTGCAGTAGACGTACAAAAACCCCTTCACAGCTGTCAAAAAAATTGAAAAGAAGCCCAGAAAAGATACAATAATTCTTGTGCCTTACTGAGAAAGTCACAGTCTAGTTTTACAGCCGGTGCGTGTTGCAGAGTTGAAGGACCCTAAAGAGGGGAGCTTTTGTGTCTGTGCTTTTCCATTCTGCAGATGTCAAGCAGCAGAATGCGGCCGGTGCTTCCTCTTACCTCCTGCACTTTCCCTTCCTTTTTGAAAATGAAAATGCAGCTGGAGACCAAGTAAAAGTCTTTTCCTTATATTTTTATGGCAGGTTGTCCGGAGTGCAAGCTAGGGGAGAACAGATTCTTTTCCAAGCCAGGAGCGCCCATTTACCAGTGCACTGGGTGCTGTTTCTCCCGGGCCTATCCCACTCCAATGAGGTCCAAGAAGACCATGCTCGTTCCAAAGAATATTACATCAGAAGCAACGTGCTGTGTAGCAAAGGCTTTCACGAAGGTGAGGGTGTGAATGAGACCTGTTTAAGCTTCTTTTGGGATGCAATGTTTAGCTGAAGCAGTGAAGAGAAAAGAACATGTTTTTGCTGGAGGACATTGGAGAACAATTTGAGGGAAGCATTCTTGGCATTTATATCCTTTGCGCTTGGGTTCTTTCTTTTTTCTAAAGAGGAAATTAAAGTGTCAACCAGTACCGAGTCTGATATTCAGTTGGGATGTGGAAATTGGTGCAGTGCCACTGACTTCAGTGAAAATGCTTTGACTCCTGACATCTGCGGTTCTGGTGGTGGACTTGTTGTCCCCTCATTTGCAACTCTCCTGAATGTGTACCCTCCCCTTAAATGCTATGTAGTGGGTATTTGATTTTAATAAGTCATTTTTCTTGCTTCTTTCCTGCATAGGCAGGAGTTCTCTGGGAAGGTGGCTGGTCAATACTATCAATTACATATATGGGAATGAGGCACCAAAACCATCTGTGCTCATTAGATTAGCTGAGACTGTGTTTTAATAGTATAACCAGGAGGGAACTGTAAATGTGTGCAACTACTTTGAGCATTTAACACTCTCATCTGGAACGTTGTTTTAAAGAGAGATTCTGCTAAAGCTGATTATTTTGGGAGTGATTCAGCTCCAGGTGAAGAAACCTTAAATTTGACGTAATAAATGGTGAGCTAGTTGAAACAAGCTAAGGTGTTTATCCTATGGTGATCTGAATCAGGTTCATTAAGTGTGTCGACTAGAGGCTCAGTTCAGTTATCCACTCACAAATGTGGTGCCATTTGAGATACCCTAGGGTACTGAAGCCATCTGTATATGGCTGGCAGACACAGGACCCATAAAAGACCTTTTAGAGTTGCAGCTGGAGGCTTGGTGAGATCCCCTCTGATGTCTCAAATGGCAATTGACAGCTCTGTGTGCGCAGCTGAACGGAGCACTGGGTCTCCACTGGCTCTGGTAAGAGCCCAGATACCTGACTTACCTATAGACACCTACAGCTGAACCCATCCTGGCTCTTCATCTGAGTAGAGCATAGGTCTTTTTCTAGACCACCAACACTATACTTGCCCTGAGGCAGCAACCAGAATTTGGTTGAGATTAAAAATAAAGATGACTCATTGTGTTTGTGGTCTCCATTTTTACAATCCCCATGTGAAATATTTTAAGGACACTTCCTGATTTTTCATAGATTGGTTACTTAACACTTTTTGAAAATCAGACACTTTAGAGAAGTGCCAAATTAAGGACACCAAACCATGTCACTATTTATGTCACCATTGAAAACTTTTGTCTTTATGGCTCTGAAAACCACTGATGGTGCAGATTTACAAGCTGGCATTCAGAGGCCGTTCTAGTACACAAACCTCAAAAGCCTATGAACCTTCTGGTTAAGAAAAAGGCCTCAGACATCTTTTACTTGAGAATGCTGTTTTTACTGTGTAGCTAATCCTAATTATTTGTTATATGTGTGTTTTCTTTTTTTAAGATTACCCTTAAGGACAATGTGAAGATAGAGAACCATACAGATTGTCACTGCAGCACCTGCTACTATCATAAATCCTAAAGCCTGTCCCTTTGTTAATGATCAAGGACAACGGTGAATGGATTATTTGTTTTTCAGCTTTTATAGCACTGCTGTGTAAAATCTTATGTTTTCTGGTCAAGACACTGGGTAGACCTTTGCGTAAGATGGATGGCTGTTTTATTTCCTCTTTGCTTCTTCATGCATTTAAGTAAGTTTAATTATTTCCATTAGGGATAAAATACAGCACTTGCATGACAACCGAATGCTTGATCTATTTTTAAAATTAACTGTCAGTTAAATCATCAATGTTTCTTGAGGAAAAATGATGATTTAATAGCTTAAAACAACAAAAAAAAGATTCTGCTGTGGTTAATTTCTAGATTCCTTTTTTCTATGGGAGAGGGAGGGAAGGAGGAAGGGAGGGATGGGAAAGTGCACAGAAAAAGAAGCAATAATTTCCCCTTATTCATTTAGTGATCAGACTTTTTCAAGACTCAACATTTTGTTTCTTCTGTTTCTCTTCTGTTTTTTCTTTACCTTGTGGACAGAAACTATAACAGTATATCATCTATGCATGGTGCTCTGTCTTTCTGTGCCATCTTTTGTTTTTCTTTGAGCTTAATCTCCTCCCATATAGATAGGTAAATGGATGCAGAGTCAGACGTTATAAAGAATTGTACAGTTTCGTGTAGCAACGGTGGAAGAGAGGAGTGGTACAACAGTATTAGCTGTTTAAGGTATGCCTGAGCAGCATGGTATAGGGCTTTAGTAATTCCCAAATGCAATGTGCTGGACCCAGATATACAAATGAGAAAGGCAGGGAATATGTTAAGTGAGAAGAAGACCACAGAATATGTACTCAAAATACATGACCTTAATATCATAAACTGGGATTTTAGAGATAGTACTTGTTCAGTTGCAGTGGGTTGGCTCAGGGTCTCTGGAGGAACTGCTTGTAGGTCTGGAGCCTGCACATGGGAACTGAAGTAAATGAATTCCCCTGGTCTTCATCCTAATTTCTGGGGTGAGAACATCAGCCTTGCTATGGTTGCTGGCTGCAAGGGTTTAAATGTACTGACTCAAAAAGCCTCAGGTATATTTGTGGGGGATTTCCCCGCAGCAGATGCTGTGAGGGTAGCAGCAAGAGCTTCTAATGGGGACAGGGAAAGCTGGCTGGGGTGAGGCTGTGAGGGTGGCTGGATGTCTGCACCAGTGCCAAATGACTGAAGTAGTTTAGACCAGTCTCCAGGGCTAAGCTGTGATGGGGCTCTTGAGCAGCCCAAGGCCGGCAGGTTCTAATGATGGTTTAAATCCGCTATTCATCCACCCTTCTGTCTACTGGAGTGCACATTCAGTGCTATTTTCTAAGAATACAATCATGGCGCTTTGTGGAGAAGAAAAGACTTCTCATAGATAGGGGAGATAAGGTTCTTAGAGAAGCATTATTCAGCATACGTCCAGCAAACCTTATTAGCCTGATCGCCATGCCTTAACCCCCTGATTCAGTCTCTCCCCGCTGGGAACCACTGGTCTGGTCCAGTCCTATGTCCTAGTGCAGAAGCAGCTGCACCGTGCCATTCCTGGGAGATGTTTTGCCTCACTTGCTCTTGAAAAAACCTCCAGTGGTTATTCCAGAATCTGCCAAGGAGACTGATCTTGTTGCTTCACTATTCTTACTGTGCTGAAAAACTTAAACCTTCTGGAAAGTTTTTCCTTAATGTTTTATCTGTGTCTCATTTGCTTTGACATTACTTTTTGTCAAAGGGGAGGTAGTCGAGTAAGGTGGGCTTTAGTTTAATAACATCACTAGCACAGGTTTTCACAGTGAGAAGTCTAATTTCTTATTCTGGATCATCACTCAAGATATTACAGGAATACATGTCAGCAGCTGCTATAGCTGACTCACAATTCCAAGTTGTTGTACAGTTTTATTAAGCTTGATTGATGCGGGTACTTTTGCAGGAGAGCCAGGTCCTGCCTGGGATTTCTGGGCAACAAGAGAGGAGTGATTTGGAGCTGCAAGATGATTACCTTTGGGAATGGTATTGCATTTTCTCATAACTTTGACAGGACTGAAAGGGAGAGCAGGGAAACACATTCTCTGAAGTTCACCTGCAGGGGAGATGTGCCTTTTCACCTTGCCAAACTTCTTGGACGACCTCTTTCTTACTCAAGTGAGCTCCTCTGGCAGTATCAAGTACTTACTTGTCTAGCTATGCCTGTGCTGCCCACAACAGCAGGTTGGTGATACGATAAACTTCTGTTTGCTTCTTCTGAATCAACTTCCATATTTTGCATTGTAAAACCACAGAAATATTGAAAACCAGTAACCAATGAGAGTGAAACCCGTGCTTTAAAGACAATGTGAGATGTTGTAGCCCTCTGTCATTCTAGGATGCCTAGTCTATTTTTCAGCGGCTTTCCCCTCTTGCTTGTACAAAGCCATGAACTTCTCAACTCGTGGATCCCTCTCCTCCCTAAGGCACCGAGAGCTGGCCAAGTGTGTATTGCGAGGATATGTGGAATGCGGGAGCATCAGCCTCATTAAGTCATCTGGCTCCAACTCCTCAGTTTAGAAGAAATAACACATAACAAGGAAAGTGATAAAATAAACACGCGGATACACAAACCTAACAGCAGGTGGTAAGGGAGACAATAAGAAAGACCAGACCTCTTGGGCCACTGATGGATGGGCCATTAGCGATGGTCCTCGGGCAGGGCTCAGCTCGCTAACCGAGGGGGGGCTGCCCTCGGTGCGGGGGTGTTTGGGGGAGGCACGGGGGGACTGTGCAAAACTCCTTATGGGAGATCTCGGAAGGGGCTTGTGGGACTGTGCGGAACTTGTTATGGGGTGTTTAGAGGAAGGGCCAGAGGTGGGGAAGGGGGGGGGTGGGGATCAGGGTGGGCTGGGGAGGAGGAAGCGTGGGAAAATGGAGAGGGGCAGTAAGGGGCCGGTGGTGTGTGCAAGCTGCCAGTCCGGACGCTTCTCTGACCCAGCCTCTGCTTGATCACTCCAGTCTGCCCTATCTTCTTATTAAATCCTTAACTTTTTTTCGCCCTCTGTAATCTCACTTTGCATCCCATGTGTGAGTGCTGCAACTGCTAGCAACTGGAGAAGGGACCCACAGGTCTTGGTGCCAGCAACTAGAGAGACCAATATTCAAGAGAGTCACGGGTGGTCCCAACTGGAGGGACCGTGGGCCATAAGGCTTGTAGGTCTAGGTGTCAGCAACTGGAGGGACCAGCGTGTGTGTTTGTGTGGGAGAGGCCTAAATAGCAGCACCCGTAAATAACGAAGTGTGTTTATTCCCCCCCCCAAGTTAATTTAATCCTCTGTGCGTGTGTACGTGTAATTGTACTGCAGATTTTGAGATGGATTAATTGGTGAGCAGGAGGAAGCACCTGGAAGGACTTGAGGTCTGAGTCCGTGCTGGGTTAGGGGACCCAGGGTCTGGGCACGGGTGGACTGAGCAGCTGTGCTAATATTCAAGGAATCCACGATTGTGGGGACACTTGTGAGACAAGTGTGTAGCACACGCATCTGCTTGCTAGCAAACTTCAAGTTGGACTGGCTGGAGAGTAGGAGGAGACCTGCTTACCTGGTAAGGGAGCCTGAGCACGGGTATTAGCGGGCTTTACAGGCTGGGCTGATACTCGAGGATCTGTGAATGTGACTGTGCTTGTGAATCTAGAAAGTGAGGGCACATCTGTTTTCATAGAGGACTTTGATCCTGATCAGCCAGAGAAGAGGAACAGGACTGGGTTTACTTATATTTAAGTGAAGGTTGTTGGTTTTTATGTGAGTGTGGCTAAAGGCAGTGGTCTGTCAGGTAGTCTGTGTGTCCGGCTGCCTTGGTGCCCTCTGTGCGTACGTGTGTGTGTGTGCCTGAGCCAGATGCTCAGCTTTGCTGCTGGCCAAACCTGCACACAGGGACAGGAGCCGTGTCCATCAGGCTGGGATGGAGAGACCTCCTGAGTCCCTGCATTCCCCCGACTGGGCTGCGGCAGTCAGCAAGGAGGGATCCCTGGGTCCTGGAGTCCACGGGGTTCAGCAGCCAACATTTACATCCTTAACATGTATTATCCAAATATATTTTTTGACATTACAGCTGTTAGAATCAGGTCAGAATTTAATTGTTTATGTTTGAAAGTGAGTGTAAAACCCAGGCCATAGTCAGAAGAGTAGTGGTGGTGGGTCAGTGAGGTCATATACAGTCAGGACTAGGAAAAACAATGCTACATGTCATTAGGAAGCTAATACAGCTTACCATAATAGAGAACAAATGGGGCATAAATGGGAATATATGCTGGAAGACAATCTAGATTTATATCTGTAGGGATTAAATACCAGATTTCCAGTAGGAATGGAAAACAGCAAAAAAAGTACAATATAGTTTCCTTACATTAGAAAATGGCTGAGATGATAGATAGAGGCTAGATCAGTCATATATATTCGAGAGGACATGGAGAGACAATGTCACAAAATCAGAAGAGAGACTAATCTCTTGTTTACACAGATAGCCAACATGCACCTTCTGTATTTTAGGAACAGGCTATTTGTGCATGGAGATAAAATGAAGTCCTTGTCAGTGTGTAGTAATAAATCAGTCAGGCTGATACTGTGGATTAAAAGTGCTGAAGATCAAGCAGGCTGAAGATAAAAATGATATGTTTTTACTGTCACAGTGACCTATATAAACCTACATCACCATAGTCCTAATAACAAATTCATTCTGTGAGCAGAGGGACTAGTGAAGCTTGATTTCCTGATGATCTGTGCCCTGCCTCACCCAAGATCTGTTTTGCCTCTCCCTCGTCCCTGGGCAGCCCCATCGGGTGCCCTCCTGAGCTGCTGCAGAGCCATCAGCCAGATCCAGGGCTGTGCCCCTGCTTGTCTGTCCGGCATGTTTTCTTAGGGCTGCTCCTGACTTCTTTTCAATCAGACACCAATTTTTATATTTTGCCATTAGCAGGTATTGATTTTCACAAAACTGGTAAGACCTTCCAAGGGCTGAGTTCATTACCCATCACCCAAAAATCCTCAAGACCGACCAAAGGGTTAAACAGTTGCTGAAGAACGGCTGTCAGACAGCTGTGTGGACAGACAGACAGCATGAGTGCCTCACTGTTTTGAGGTGCCAGGCTAAAAATTCTTCCGATGATTCATAGGTATTGTGATTTCCAGTCCACAGCTGGTGAGTGCGGGAAGGGTGTCTCCTCGGCAGAAAGATAAAGCTCTCGAGCTGTAGAGATTTTAATGAACTGAAATTTCAGATCAGGCTTCTCACTCCTAGCAAGCCTGAGAAGCTCCAAGTGAGCAGCAGCCTTCCTTTTCTCTCCCTATCACCCTGCCTAAACAATAATTT